GGAGGGGAGGGGGTGCTGAGGGTCCCCTCCCCACAGCTCCATGACATCATCGAGCCAAGGGCCACCGTGACGTCACGGGGACCTGGTGACCTGGCAGCAGGGATGGGGGTCACCCCTTGAAGGGGAGGGGGGCACCCCGGGGGTCCCCGTGCCCCTACTCACCGTAGAGCCCAATCATTGTTTCCAAGATTAAAACCCTCTCCGCTAAAATCTTCAGCGCCTCCCGGAGCTGGTGCAAACCCTCCCCCTGGGGACAAGACAGGCAGGGCTGGGGAGGGGGGCCTGCACCCCCCCACGACCCTGTACCACCCTCCCCGGGGGCAGCATGGATGGGACGCGGTGACCCCCCACTTCCTGGCACCCCCTGACTCACTGTGGCACCAGGGGAAGGACTGGGGGGGGGTACCCGGGGGGGGTTGGGGGGGGCTGAGCCCACCCCCTGTCCCCGGGGTCACCGGGGGGCTGGTGATGTGCCACATCATCCCATTCAGGTGACATTGGCACCGGGCACAGCTGGGGACCCCCAGTGCCACCACTGGGGTCTCAGGGACAAGCTGGGGGGGCACTGGGAACAGTTGGGTACCCCCAGGACATCACTGGGGTGACAGGGATGAGGTGTGGGGCACCGGGCACTGCAGGGGACCCCCAGTGCCACCACTGGGGTTCTGGGCACCCCCAGACCATCGTTGGGGTCCCACGGATGAGATCCAGAGCAGAGCAGGGAGGGGGCCGGGGGTCCTCCCACGCCCATCACCCCCTCCCCAGCACCCCCGGGTGCCACTCACCCAAGTGCCCCTGTGGCCTGGCTCGCCCTGGGGGCCCGGCTCGCCCTGAAACACAGAGAGGAGAGGCCCTGGCAGCGCGGGGGGCACGGGGAGCTGCGCTGGGGGGGCCCCCCCACCCACCTACCTGCGCCCCGTCCTGCCCGCGGCTGCCCGGGTGGCCCTGGGGACCCTGTGGGGGGACAGAGCCCATCAGTGCCCGGGGGGGGGGGGGGCACGGCCAGACCCCCAGCAGGGGTGGTACCAGCAGTTCACCCCAAAACCACCTTAAAGCAGCCCAAAACACTCTGAAAGCATCCCCAAACCACCCCAAACACAGCCCGAATCATCCCAAACCCCACCCCGAATCACCATAAAACCACCCCGAATCACCCTCAAACCCCTCACAAATCAACCCAAAACCCACCCTAAATCACACCAAATCCTCCTGAAAACCACCCCAAATCACCCCCAAAATACCCCAGATCATCCCAACCCCACCCCAAATCACCCCAAACCCACCTCGAATCACCCCCAAAATACCCCAGATCATCCCAACCCCACCCCAAATCACCCCAAAACCACCCCGAATCAACTCCAAACACACCACCAATCAACCCAAAACCACCCCAAATCATCCCAAAATCACCCCAAATCAGGCTGTGCCTGAGCTGCTACCAAGTGAGAGACCCCAAAATATCCCCAAATCGCACAAAACCCACCCTTGAAATACCCCAAAAATCATCTCCTGCACCCCAAAATACCCCAAAACTGGCTGTGCCTGAGCTGCTAGCAGGTGAGGGACATCAAAATACCCCCGAATCACCGAAAATCCTCCTGAAACAACCCAAATCACCCCAAAGCCACCCCAACAATCATCCCCTGCACCCCAAAATACCCCCAAAACCCACTCTGTGACGCCGTCTGAGTATCCGAGACCCCTCAAATCCCTGGGAGGAAGAAGCTGGGAGGACTCACCCTGTCCCCCTTCTCCCCGGGGGGACCCGCAGCTCCGGGGGCTCCGGCTCTTCCCTGTGCAGGGACAAGGTGGGTGACATCCCCCTGGGGGGAGGGGACACGCGGGGGCCCACCCACCCTGTGCCCGCCCCCACTCCAGCACTTACGTGGGGTCCGGGGGGTCCGGGGGGCCCGATGGGGCCCGGGGGGCCGGGGGGACCTGCCGGGAGAGGGGGCACAGCTCAGGTCGGCCCCGGGGCACCCCCAAAGGGGTTTGGAGGGATTGGGGAGGGGGGGACACACTCACCCATGGGCCCCACCGGTCCGGGGGGGCCCACGGGCCCCACGATGCTCCTGGTGGGTTCGGTGAAGGTGTTGGAGAGGAGGGGGTCTCCTGGGGGGGGAGAGTGGAGCGGGGGGTGGGCAGGGGGCTGGCCTGGGGGGGTGGGGTCTGACCCCGGACCCCTTCCCTGCTCT